AGGATTAAATCGATCGATCGATCGTTAATCCATTTTCTTTTTCGGCCATTATTCCACCCGGCTAAGAATTACGTCGAATACCCGCGCCGAGAATTAACACCCTCTTTTTCTTATTCCCGCCACCGATTCTGTTTTGTCGTACATTTTAACCCTCTCGACGATGGAACATTGCTTTCTCGAGCCGTTAACGCCAGGTTACTTTTCCTTTGACCCTCGAGCTTTTGTTCGACAACTTTTTTTACTCGCCTCTCTCTGTACACCGCCTCGAAATGAGCACTCTTTCGACCAATGAATGCGTTTAATTTAACGGACTTATCTGGGACAATGGAACGAAGAAGTCGGTCTAGAAACAATTTTTCTTTGTCAATTGATTCGCGGACGTGCCGAGTATTCTCTCTTGTCTGAACGAAATAACCGGGTGTTGGGACAAAAAGAAGTCGAAGAACGATCAAGTCGAGCGAAGATTTGTCAAAGGAAACGAACGCTTTAACGGAGATATCTTTCAAACAGATACTCACGATACTCAGTAATTATTTGACTGTGCTCCGGACGCATGGTTACACCAGCTTCTTCATAAGGAACATTTAACTTCGTTCAAATTGATGTTCGCATAACTGATATTATTCAGTTACTGAAGTTATTTGTAGATTGATGTCAGCGGTGATTATAATTTCAGGGTGCAAATTTCGAGTTGATACTAATGCAATATTTCCAGAGAAAGTAAAGATAGGTACTTAGACTCTTGAGTATTGCTATATCTAAGTACATACTAGGGAATGTAGGAATTTGGGAACTTGAAGATTTGGGGTCATAGAGATTTGGAGACATAGGGAGTTGGGGATGCAGAGATTTGGGACTGTAGTGGTTAGAGACTGTAGGGATTTCAGGACTTAGGAATTTGGCAATTTAGAATTTTAGGGGTTCTAGAAATTGGAGTATGTAGAAATTTGAGAAGGCAAGAATTGGGGAATGTGGGGATTTGGGAACTTGAGGATTTGGGGTCATGGAGATTTTGGAACGTAGGGAGTTGGTGATATAGAGATTTGGGAATGTAGGGATTTGGGAACTTGAGGATTTGAGGACATTCAGATTTTGGAACATAGAGATTAGGTGATGTAGGTATTTGAGAATATAGATATTTGGGAACTTGAGGATTTGAGGATATTCAGATTTTGGAACATAGAGATTAGGTGATGTAGGTATTTGAGAATGTAGGTATTTGGGAATTTGAGGATTTGAGGATATTCAGAGTTTGGAACATAGAGCTTAGGTGATGTAGGTATTTGAGAATGTAGATATTTGGGAACTTGAGAATTTGAGGATATTCAGATTTTGGAACGTAGGGATTTGGGAATGTAGGGATTTGGAAATGTAGGGATTTGGAAATGTAGGGATTTGGAAATGTAGGGATTTGGGAATTTGAGGATTTGAGGATATTCAGATTTTGGAACATAGAGATTAGGTGATGTAGGTATTTGAAAATGTAGGTATTTGGGAACTTGAGGATTTGAGGACATTCAGATTTTGGAACATAGGGATTTGGTGATGTAGAGATTTGGGAATGTAAGGATTTGGGAACTTGAGGATTTGGGGGTATATAGATATGGAGACATAGAAATTTGTTGATGTAGGTATTTGAGAATGTAGGTATTTGGGAACTTGAGAATTTGAGGATATTCAGATTTTGGAACATAGAGATTAAGTGATGTAAGTATTTGAGAATGTAGGTATTTGGGAACTTGAGGATTTGAGGACATTCAGATTTTGGAACATAGAGATTAAGTGATATAGATATTTAAGAATGTAAGGATTTGGCATACAGATAAGTTTGGGAACTTGAGGATCTGGTATACAGGTTTAGAGACATAGAGATTTGACAATGTAGAGATTCAAGAATGTAAATATTAGAAGATATAATAATTTACAGACAAATAAACTCAATCAAAACGTGCACCAATCATCACTCCACAAACATATCCACCTACCTATAATAAGAACCCTCAGATATGCAAACAACCCAACAATTTCACGACTCCGTTCAGAAACAAATTACATACAAAATGACAACAATCATATCTCTTGATCATTAAAGCCGAATGAGACAATCTGAACCGAAACGAGTAAATTAGCAAACGATGTAATAAGCGTGTTTTCCGCGGACCGATGAATCTCGAATTCAACATCCCTGAACATGACACACGTTGTACGTGTTTGTTTGTTCGCAGAAATTCCGCGCTGTATCGCACACCGTCATTGTTCCACGGAAATGTTTCTAAACTAGGGGTTTGAGCAACGCTAAGCAGCTCAGTACGCATCCACGGTGTCTAAAGGGCATTAACTGACCGTGATATTAATTGCTTTCTGGCTATTAGCAAATGGGACCTCGGAGATCTCGCAAAGGGAGTGCCGCCATGCTCGTCCGCCATTAACGGTAACGCTACGCAATTCAACGTCTACGCATTTCGAACCTGGTGTGGGACCTTCATCGATAAAGCGGGTAACAGATGGCGAAACTTTGGCAACTCGATATTTTTTGTTCGAGGGTGATTCGAAGGCGCCATGTTTTCTACGCTTAGTGTTAGAATACTGCTGTAGTATTAGTATACTGTATATTTAATAATACTGAAGGTATATTGTTAATTTTCTTTTTGAAATATACTGTGTTGCAATATTGTAATATTATGTATTTAAGGGTTAATATTGTGGTAGTTGTTCTGACGCACCTGACTAATATCTTGACAAGGGATTAATATCGAAAGTATATTCTTAATTTTCTTTTTAAAATATACTGTGTTGTAATACTGCAATATTATGTATTTAAGGGTTAACATTATAGCAATGGTTCTGACTGACTCACCTGACTAATACTTTGACAAGGGATTAATACCGAATGTATATTCTTAATTTTCTTTTTGAAATATACTGCGTTGCAATATTATAATATTATGTATTTAAGGGTTAACATTATAGTAATGGTTCTGACTGACTCACCTGACTAATACTTTGACAAGGGATTAATACCGAATGTATATTCTTAATTTTCTTTTTAAAATATACTGTGTTGTAATACTCTAATATTATGTATTTAAGGGTTAACATTATAGCAATGGTTCTGACTGACTCACCTGACTAATACTTTGACAAGGGATTAATACCGAATGTATATTCTTAATTTTCTTTTTAAAATATACTGTGTTGTAATACTCTAATATTATGTATTTAAGGGTTAACATTATAGCAATGGTTCTGACTGACTCACCTGACTAATACTTTGACAAGGGATTAATACCGAATGTATATTCTTAATTTTCTTTTTAAAATATACTGTGTTGTAATACTCTAATATTATGTATTTAAGGGTTAACATTATAGCAATGGTTCTGACTGACTCACCTGACTAATACTTTGACAAGGGATTAACTAACCTAAACAAGAAGAACCTCACCTCTTACGCGCCATTATAATGGCTCTACTAACTCACCCTTCAATCAAATGCAATTCGATGTCTCATACATCTATCGAATTCCGAGTCAAAATAACAGCGCGTTCCAAGAGAAAACAGAGATTAAATTCGATACGGAAATGAATGAAGACTATTCTTTATTCGTGATTAACCTCTTAGGGGCTATGGCGGCTTTCGCGAATGGCGTCTCTGTACGACGGTCCACTATGGTGGCTTCATTTTGATACCGAGGTAATTTTGTCGATCGCATTGCGGCGGATTATAATGTATTAACCCTTTGTCGTACCCTTCGACCCTATCGTGCCACACTCGGCAAGCACGTTACAGGTCAGATACAACAAACCTAAATAGTATTTGCACCGTGATCGAGTTTGGAGTTTAACCTCTTAGGCGCGCCACTATAGTGGCTTTCGCGACCATCTCTCTGTACGACGGTCCACTATAGTGACTCTCGCGAACGTCATCGTAGATTACATAGCGCCTTGGCTCACTCCACTGTCTCACTCACCGTTTCAATCGAACGATCTTCTTCATATGTTTTGATTCGCACTTTTTACCTTCACCACGTTTTATGAGAGTATTAACAAATCCCGCAAAAGTACATTACGTGCGAATAAAAGGCACGCCAAGTTTAGGCACCATCCTTGCACTGACGATGTTGGAAACATTCGGAAATTACATATTTTGTGAATTTTGGAAAGAGTAAATTATTAAAGTATATCGTGAATCAGTAAATTATCAAGGTATGTCATATGTTTGTAATTTTAAAGTAAATTTAATCAAAGTACATCATATCTTTGGGAAAATGAATTTAATCATGGAAAACTTTGTTTCAATGTACTTTCTAAGAGAGCAGCATACTCTTTGCGCTCGAGAGGTGCCTCAGTCGCCATTTTACTTAATAAAATAGTATAAGCATTTATAAATGCGAATGCGCATTTTTAACTGATTCCATAATAGGACACATGTGATGTATAAACATAGTAAAGCAAAAATTAGTAGAAATTATTAGTAAAGAAGTAATAATTTCATAAGAATTCATTTAACCCTTTGCGCTCCTTATTACCTACTAACTCCTCCGTTCACAAAATAGATCACGGTAGAAGTTCTGAATTAAACGTACAGCAACAGAGTGGTGCATGTGACAAATATATTTTTCCGCCATTATAAATAGAAAATAAACGAAAATATACATATACATGTATATATGTAACCACTGCATTTATCTGAATTATTTATAAGATCCAAAAGGAATGTGATGTAGAGTGTGCAGTAGGTTAACCTTTTAACTAGCAAGTTTTAAAGTTGTAGTCCGCAGTCAAATTACCTCCAAATGCAAACATTGCAGCAATAATCAGTTCTATCTAACAAGTACATTCTAACGTACTTTGAGAACAACATTCTACTATAATTGTATATATTATCATTGTGCTATAATTGTCGAACTCTGTCAGAGCTCTGTTCCTCCAGAGAAATAGCATAGAAGCATCATAAAGTTGAACCTGAAGAGTCTAATAATATTTGAGATTTGATTTACCTTGAAACGCAGCCTCGAACGTGGTCTTCTCCTCTTCAGGGTTTTGAGCGAGCACCCAGGCAACCGTGAGGTAACCGACGATCACGAAAAATCGGCAAACACCAAGTTCGGCCATCGTCCTGCGATGTACATGCACCACGCTGCCTCCTTCAAAGTTCACTTTCGCATATCTCGCGCGACTATCGAACCGGCCGATCGATTTGCCGCGAGTTTGTACGAGACGCGCACTGTTATCGAATAGCGACACTCGATTTAATCCGGCGAAAAGCGTAAGAACCCGTAACGAGCACTGCCAGAAACACCAAGTCCCGTGGAACACTTTTATGCTTCCTTCTTGTGTGTACAATACGAAAGCACTCGTCTCGAAAACACGTAGTACGTGAGACTAGAACTCTGAAAGAACGAATACGAGGTCGTGTCAAGGAGACTACTATATCGAGTATTGTAAACGCGACGTTCTGTTGAATATGGACGTGCACAATTTTTACCTATTCAATTTTATGTCTTTATGAAAAGAAGTGGTGCGATGTGGACTTTTTTGAAATTGGACGTAGGAGGTTTTTAGGAGAGGAAGAAGAAAGTAGACTTTTTTTAGAAACCTGGAGACTAGGAATTAAGAACGTGTAGAACCTGAGAGACTACGGAGAAACTAAAAACTTGTAGAACCTAGGGAGAGACTAAGGAGGAACTACAAACTTGAAGAACCTAGGGAGAGACTAAGAAGAAACTTGTAACTTGTAGACCTTAGGGAGAGACTAGGACCAAGACTTGTAGATTAAGTAGAAGGTACAAAGTAGAATTTAGAAAGAGACTAAGAAGCAACTAAAAACTTGTAGAACCTAGGGAGAGACTAAGGAGGAACTACAAACTTGAAGAACCTAGGGAGAGACTAAGAAGAAACTTGTAACTTGTAGACCTTAGGGAGAGACTAGGACCAAGACTTGTAGATTAAGTAGAAGGTACAAAGTCTAGGTAGAAGCTACTTTGTAGAATTTAGAAAGAGACTAAGAAGCAACTAAAAACTTGTAGAACCTAGGGAGAGACTAAGGGGGAATTATAAAGTTGAAGAACTTGGGGAGAGACTAAGAAGAAACTTGAGACTTGTAGACCTTAGGGAGAGACTAGGACCAAGACTTGTAGACTAGGAAGAAGCTACTTTGTAGAATTTAGAAAGAGACTAAGAAGCAACTAAAGACTTGTAGAACCTAGGGAGAGACTAAGGAGGAACTACAAACTTGAAGAACCTAGGGAGAGACTAAGAAGAAACTTGAGACTTGTAGACCTTAGGGAGAGACTAGGACCAAGGCTTGTAGACTAGGTAGAAGGTACAAAGTAGAGTTTAGAAAGAGACTAGGAAGCAACTAAAAACTTGTAGAACCTAGGGAGAGACTAAGGAGGAACTACAAACTTGAAGAACCTAGGGAGAGACTAAGAAGAAACTTGAGACTTGTAGACCTTAGGGAGAGACTAGGACCAAGGCTTGTAGACTAGGTAGAAGGTACAAAGTAGAATTTAGAAAGAGACTAAGAAGCAACTAAAAACTTGTAGAACCTAGGGAGAGACTAAGGGGGAATTATAAAGTTGAAGAACTTGGGGAGAGACTAAGAAGAAACTTGAGACTTGTAGACCTTAGGGAGAGACTAGGACCAAGACTTGTAGATTAAGAAGAAGCTACTTTGTAGAATTTAGAAAGAGACGAGAAAGAAACTGAAAACTTGAGGAACCTAGGGAGAGACTAAGAAGAAACCAGAAATTTATAAAATCCAAGAAGAGACGGAAATTTATGAAACCTAGAAAGAGTCTATGAAGAAACCAGGAATATGTGAAACAGAGAATGATTAGCTAGAAAGTAACAATTTGTAAAACCCAAGAAGAGACTAAGAAGAAATAACAAATTCCTACAAGTCAGATAGAAAATTTGTAAAATTCAAAGAGAGAGAAGACTGTAAGACCCAAGAACATAAGATGGATGCATGAAGAAACTAAGGGAAAAACTTAATGACCGTTTTTGTCACAGTTTCTCTTAACCTCGTACTTTAATTATATCGATTTTTAATCAACGTTCGATGCGTAACATTATTTTATTACCTTTATTACTACCTATCGTTCTACGTAAAGAAATATGAATTTCGGAGTGGTATTATCTACTTTTAAGTGGAGTACGGACTCAAGTCTGATACTAACCTGCGTTACAGACCTGGCACTATCTACTTTTAAGTGGAATACAGACTCAAGTCTGATCCTAACCTGCGTTAGAGTCATTCGAAACTAGTAGCCTTCTAAACAAAAAAGTCACTAAAAAGGAACAAAAATATAAAAAAATATCAAAACGAAACCTTGCTAACCTAAATAACAATTAAATTTGAATATACCTTATAATAACACGACTTAAACCCAATTATCTCTCGATTTGTTACAATTACCCCAATTCCGAATTTCCTAGTAAATTATTCACACAAAGTTGCTTAAAGCGATTTCAGAAGTTAAATCGAAGCTGAGAAAAGTAACAACTGGATGAGCACTTAAAGTTCTCAGAGAATTGTGTAGAAGCAAACATTATTCTAGATTCTGGCATTATATTGCTAGGTCGAATATCTGGTTCGTATCCGTTTAGATCGACGCGGGTTTCTTTCGTTCCTTTCTCTCCGTTTCTCACGAGAGCCCTTTTGCCTTCGCCGCTGTTTAACATTCAATTGTGCGTGTAATGAAACTCTCGGTGATATTTACCGTTCCTGTTACCCGTCGGTAAATGATCGATCTCTATGTTCCCGTTGATATTCAATGCAAATTCGCCCGGCGCCGTATGCATTTCGATATCAATATGCATATGTTTTATAGCGTGTCAATCTACCGGGTTATACATACACTTTCGAAAAAAAGGAGGCAAAAATGCGCGATGCATATTCCGTATGCGTACCGCCCCGATGGAATATACACATATTCCGAATAGAAAACAAAGTTATGGTACTTTAAGATTTAAATTTAGAAATCTAATGATGGCATAAAAATATTAAATTATTGAAAAATAATATAAGGGAAAATAAATGTAAGGATATAGAGATTTAGATATCAAAAAATATACGCTGATCTGGGTATATAGAAATCTAGGGATTTTCAAGGTAAAGAAGTTTGGAGTACAAAAATTTACAAATACAAAAAAATTTAGAATACAGGTATTTTGAGTATAGGGATTATTTAACTAGGGAAATATAGGATTTAGGGATTTTTTAGCATAGAGATTTCAGATTCTTGATATGTGAGATCTAGGAACTTTGCTATCTAGGAATTTTTTAATCTAGGGTTTTTCAAATCTGGAAACTTGAGATTTTAGGGAATTTTTAAATCTAGGGATTTTAGTAACCTGGGAATTCAGGATCTAGTGATTTTTTGGATCTGGGAATTTTTAGTCTAGGGATTTTTAAATAATTTTCAATCTAAATATTTGGAGATATAGATAACTTTTTATCTAGGGATTTTTTAGATCTAGGGATTTCAGTAACCTAGGAATTCAGGATCTAGTAATTTTTCGAATCTGGGAGTTTTTAATCTATGGATTTTTAAATAATTTTCAATTTAAATATTTGGAAATATAGGTAACTCGTGATCTAGGGATTTTGTAAATCTAGGGATTTCAGTAACCCAGGAATTTAGGATCTAATGATTTTTCGAATCTGGGAGTTTTTAATCTATGGATTTCTACACAATTTTTAATGCAGAAATTTGGAGATGTAAGTAACTTGTGATCTAGTGATTTTTTAAATCTAGGAATTTTAGTATCTAAGTGTTATTGAATCTAAGAACTTGAGAGTTTAGGGATTTGTTTAAATCTAGAGATTTCAATGCCTAAGTGAATATAGGAACTCAAGAGTTTAGGGACTTTTTAAATCTAGGGATTTCAATGCTTAAGATATTTAGGATCTAATGACTTTTCGAATCTGTCAATTTTTAGTCTAAGGATTTCTAAACAATTTCCAATTTAGAAATTTGGAGCTGTATGTAACTTGTAATCTAGTAGTTTTGAAATTTAGGAATTTTGTAATCTAGGATCTCTGCAATCTAGGGATTTTACATAGGAAATTTGGAATCCAAAAATGTTTGAGTATAGAAATAAATAGACCTGGTAATCTAGTGATATAATAATATAAAAACATAGGCTTTGAAAAATCTAAATTCTTAGAGAAATATAAAAATGTGATCTAGAAATAAAAATAGTTCTATTTGTCGTTAAATATTTAAAACCCGGTATCCCTATGTCCTTATGTTCCTCCGATAATTGTTTAACCAAATATCTAAGAATACAGGCATCAACGGATCTACAATATTGTAACCTAGAAATATCGAGATTCAAATCTTGAAAGCTAGTAATATAACGGTTGAGCGTAACACGAACAAACACGCACATTTTTAAAAAGCAATTCGTAGTGCCGTCACGACGGCGGCTTAAAACAAACGCGAACCTGATAACAACTATCCATCTTATTTAATACGATTCCTGAACACGATCAAATGACTTAAGCCGAAACGTCAACTATCGAGTACAGTAAACCGACGCTACTAAGGTCTCTACGTTCCTTAATCTTGCTAAAGTTCAATGACCACAATCGAACTGCTTCGGAACCGTAGTTATGTCACACGAATCGCAACAACGCAAATACGACATACCGATCAACCTTCCAAACAACTTCGCAAAACCACCTACACTATCAACGTAACTGTTATTTAATTTCGATCGTCGAATCGATTTCACCCCCGAAACTACGGTCACGCGAGAAAGAACGCGGTGGAAAAGGATCAAAAGGAAAAATAAAGGATTCGTTGGATCGTCGTACCTGTCAGAGTAGTATCACGCTCGTCGTCCCGAGACACGGGAAAGAAAAGTACTATTACTCGAGAACGTTGAACGCACACGCGAAACCGAAAAAAGACAGGAGCTCCGCGACAGCCGTCGACGCCGGCCGGTGTCTCCAATCGAACTGCGGGGGTTGGCCGACGGTGGCGCCGCCGAGGGACGCCGAGCTTCGCCGAGCTTTGCCGTGCGGCATGCGTCATAACGCCACCGCCTTCGATCGGCCGCCATTTTTTTTTTTGAAGCACGTTACTATCCCCTTGAAAACATTCCACCCCGTACGCTGTTTCCCGATCGGAGCTCAGGGCCGTATTTACTACGATATAGTCAAGAAAGCGTGCTACTATTATTTACATTTACGCTACAACTACCACATCTAATGATTTACCCATTTCAACATTTTTCTTGTTGTTTTCTTTCCTGCGATGCAATGATTTTTACCACTGTAGATGTAACTAATGTTACATAGTAATAATACATAGTAATAGAGTAAAAATAATAGAATAGTAAAAATAAATTTATTGATTCAATTTATTGACATAATAAATTTATTTTTATTACTTTATTATTTCTATATTTATTTTTACTCTGGCACTATGTATTATTAGCAATAAATTTATAAGCAATATGATCAATAAATTTATTGATACTATTTATTGATGCAATAAATTTGTTTTTACTACTTTATTATTTTTATATTTATTTTTACTCTATTACAATGTATTAGCAATAAATTTATAAGCAATATGATCATTAAATTTATTGATACTATTTATTGATGCAATAAATTTGTTTTTACTACTTTATTATTTTTATATTTATTTTTACTCTATTACAATGTATTAGCAATAAATTTATAAGCAATATGATCATTAAATTTATTGATACTATTTATTGATGCAATAAATTTGTTTTTACTACTTTATTATTTTTATATTTATTTTTACTCTATTACAATGTATTAGCAATAAATTTATAAGCAATATGATCATTAAATTTATTGATACTATTTATTGATGCAATAAATTTATTTTTATATTTATTTTTACTCCATTACTATGTATTATTATAAATAAATTTATAAACAATATAATCAATAAATTTATTGATACAATAAATTAATTTTTGTAATGTTATTAGTGTTTACTTTATTTATGTTGTTAAAATAATTTTGTTATGACTACCTGTACCCTATCTGTTCTTAACGTGTGAAGTTAAACTGGTTACTGAACTCGGAAACGTTTATTAGGTATTTAGTTGGATTTATCGATGTTTTGTTATCGTATGCACGTCTTATCTGACGCCATTATGAGCACAGTCACTATGTAATATAATAGTAATTCTAAATTACAAATTGCATTGATAAGAGGTAATTTGTAATTTATCGTGAAGCTTATGAAATAGTATGGTTTGTTGGACCCAAAATTTAGAATAAAAAGCATGCGTCATAACGCCACCGCCTTCGATCGGCCGCCATTTTTTTTTTTGAAGCACGTTACTATCCCCTTGAAAACATTCCACCCCGTACGCTGTTTCCCGATCGGAGCTCAGGGCCGTATTTACTACGATATAGTCAAGAAAGCGTGCTACTATTATTTACATTTACGCTACAACTACCACATCTAATGATTTACCCATTTCAACATTTTTCTTGTTGTTTTCTTTCCTGCGATGCAATGATTTTTACCACTGTAGATGTAACTAATGTTACATAGTAATAATACATAGTAATAGAGTAAAAATAATAGAATAGTAAAAATAAATTTATTGATTCAATTTATTGACATAATAAATTTATTTTTATTACTTTATTATTTCTATATTTATTTTTACTCTGGCACTATGTATTATTAGCAATAAATTTATAAGCAATATGATCAATAAATTTATTGATACTATTTATTGATGCAATAAATTTGTTTTTACTACTTTATTATTTTTATATTTATTTTTACTCTATTACAATGTATTAGCAATAAATTTATAAGCAATATGATCATTAAATTTATTGATACTATTTATTGATGCAATAAATTTATTTTTATATTTATTTTTACTCCATTACTATGTATTATTATAAATAAATTTATAAACAATATAATCAATAAATTTATTGATACAATAAATTAATTTTTGTAATGTTATTAGTGTTTACTTTATTTATGTTGTTAAAATAATTTTGTTATGACTACCTGTACCCTATCTGTTCTTAACGTGTGAAGTTAAACTGGTTACTGAACTCGGAAACGTTTATTAGGTATTTAGTTGGATTTATCGATGTTTTGTTATCGTATGCACGTCTTATCTGACGCCATTATGAGCACAGTCACTATGTAATATAATAGTAATTCTAAATTACAAATTGCATTGATAAGAGGTAATTTGTAATTTATCGTGAAGCTTATGAAATAGTATGGTTTGTTGGACCCAAAATTTAGAATAAAAAAAAGAAAGAAAATAAATATATTACAATTTTGTACAATTCAGTTTATCATAAAAAAGAAAAAAGGCAGTATCTTCAACAATAAAATCTGTAATAAATGTTTCTGTAAAATAAATAATATAACCACTGAAAAATACAAAAATTAAAAATTGAATTAAATTATGAAATTAAAAAATTAAAAATGTAGTAAAATTGAAAATATCTACTGAAAGAATGTAAGTAGATAAAATAGGTTGACCTTCGGATATAATTCAAGGGCAACATAGTGAATGCGAAAGTTGGTTAAGTGTCTGAAAGTAATTTTCAAGAGACGTTTACTCAAAAGTACTTGATTTTCCTACCACCACTTGCATTTGATGGACCAAACTAACAGCCTAATAAAATCTTGGTAATACCACACACAACGCTGGCGTTAATAACGCGCCAAGAAATTATGGGTATAACCAAACCCTGAGCAAACCGAATCATAACCTGAACATAAAGTAGCCTAACCTAACTCTAACGTACCGTAACTCCAGACAAGTCTAATTTGAAGCTTCACAATATTGCTGCTGTTAAAAACACCTTAAAACATGCCAGTAAAAAAATTTAAGTATACATATCATTTAAAACCTCCCCAAATATAATATAAATCCTTATAATGTATAATATTATTATTAATAACAATAAATAATTTAATTTAAATTATAGTCACAGAGACTGAATTACAAAGTTCATTATTCTAATAAAAAAATTTAATTATAAATATCATTTAAAACCTCCCCAAATATAAAATGTATAATATGAATCCTAAATAATATTATTATTAATAACAATAAATAATGTAATTTAAATTATAGTCACAGAGACTGAATAACAAGTTTCATTATTCTAATAAAAAAATTTAATCATAAATATCATTTTAAACCTCCCCACATGTAATATGTATAATATGAATCCTAAATATATAATATTATTATTAATAACAATAAATAATTTAATTTAAATTATAGTTACAGAGACTGAATAACAAGTTTCATTATTGTAATAAAAAAATTTAATTATAAATATCATTTAAAACCTCCCCAAATATAATATGTATAATATGAATCCTAAATAATATTATTATTAATAACAATAAATAATGTAATTTAAATTATAGTCACAGAGACTGAATTACAAGTTTCATTATTCTAATAAAAAAATTTAATTATAAATATCATTTAAAACCTCCCCAAATATAAAATGTATAATATGAATCCTAAATAATATTATTATTAATAACAATAAATAATGTAATTTAAATTATAGTCACAGAGACTGAATAACAAGTTTCATTATTGTAATACAAAAATTTAATTATAAATATCATTTAAAACCTCCCCAAATATAATATGTATAATATGAATCCTAAATAATATTATTATTAATAACAATAAATAATGTAATTTAAATTATAGTCACAGAGACTGAATAACAAGTTTCATTATTCTAATAAAAAATTTAATTATAAATATCATTTAAAACCTCCCCAAATATAAAATGTATAATATGAATCCTAAATAATATTATTATTAATAACAATAAATAATGTAATTTAAATTATAGTCACAGAGACTGAATTAAATTTTCATTATTCTAATAAAAAAATTTAATTATAAATATCATTTAAAACGTCCCCAAATATAATATGCAAAATATGAATCCTAAATAATATTATTATTAATAACAATAAATAATGTAATTTAAATTATAGTCACAGAGACTGAATAACAAGTTTCATTATTCTAATAAATTTTCAATATATATTCCACATTTATGTTCTTATTTTTATGTACACACGTTTATTATTTTCAACATCGTATTTGCATATTTCGGATGAATAAACATCCCCCGTCTGACGATCAGAAGTTTTGAATAATAAATAAAGATAGCATAATTATACCGTGCACCGAAGTCAATCGATACGCTATTTTGCGTTAACGTACAACAAATAACGATTGATCTCTGACATAGAAATTCAATTATCGAAAAAGTAATTTTGATATTGCGCGTACTGAACCGCGCAAATACGTGTCACGAATTTGTTTATATTAATGTAATTTATGCTCTCTGTATCATAATACGAACGATGAAGCCGTATTAACGAGCGGGCTTGAAATTTCAAATTCACAGTGATGAAACCGAAAATAAAATAAGGCGAAGAAGAGTCGAGGAAAGCGTTTTTACTTGAAGGAAATAAATACAGGTAGCTTGGCGACTTTCACTTATCCTTTAAGTTAATTCAAATACCACTTAAACCGATTAACAACGGCCTCTTGCAGTTAATCGAGTTCAGCCATCGCTCCATTCTCTCTATAAGGCCTTAACGATAAACGGATAATCCGTTGCTATAGAAAGCTCCGAACCAGGAAATCTCAGGCGAGTACAGTGGAATAAAATTATTGTAACAGAGGTCACGTTGGTGGAACTGGAACTTCTTTCTGGGGTTAATAATTAATTAGGGTAGTGTACTGAAGACTTAGAAAATTTAGGGGTTTGGTCATTTGGGAAACTTGGAATTGCAGGGGGTTGAGGATGAGAAAAATTGGGACATTGAAATTTGAGAATTTAGAGAACTGGGTAATTAAATGGTGGAAAATTTAGAAATTGAAAATTTGAGAAGTTGGGAATTTTTAAATTTGGAAATTTAGAAATTTGGTCATTGCAAGATTAGGGAACTTAGAAATTTGGGATTTTCAGAATTGGGGATTTGAGAGTTTGGAAATTTAGAAATTTGGTCATTGCAAGATTAGGGAGCTTAGAAATTTGGGATTTTCAGAATTGGGGATTTGAGAGTTTGGAAATTTAGAAATTTGGTCATTGCAAGATTAGGGAACTTAGAAATCTGGGATTTTCAGAATTGGGAATTTGAGAGTTTGGAAATTTGAAAATATCTGAGCTTAAAAATTCCCACATGGAAGTTAAAAATTGAGAAACTTGAAGATTTAGAAATTATAATACAGAACCTTGGAAATGTAACAATTGATAATTCAAAAATTTGAGAGCTTAGAAATTTGAAAACATCTAAGTTTAAAAATTTAAATACAAAAGTTAAAAATTGAGAAACGTGAAGATATATAAATTATACTACAGAACATTTAAAATATAGGAACAGATAATTCAGAAATTGCTGACTCCTCAAATTGGCTCCCCAAAGTCTCCACCTATCTACGTCACTGTCGCCCCCAGAGACTAATTATCGCGGAGGAACGCAGAAAGGGAAAAGAATACGAAATACCTTTAAAAACACTGTCACATTAATATCTGTATATATGCAAATACATACACGTATTTATGAAAAAATTTAAATAAAAGTCTTATTATATTATCTCTTCTGTGCGGTTCTGTTTCATTCGTTAACAATGAATAACATATTGAGAAAAATACATTATTGTACCGGTTAATTAAAGCGCAATTCTGTAATACTTTACACGAACTCCCATTCGCATTCATGTGTGGATGAAACATTTATTCGCAGTACAGAGTAAACCTTACACGACTTGTAGAAATGAAAAACACGTTACAAAAGCTAATACTGTAAATGTTATATAAATATAAAAATCCAGCGTATGTACTACTGCAGAAAGTAAAAAATGGGTAAGTGGATTTAAATATAAGAGCACCTTGAAGGATTCTAATAAGCACTGCGAACGATATCGCATCGAACACGAATATTAATGCCTTCTTTAGAAATCTGTGGATCTCGTTTAAGTCGTAATGTGGACGGACGTTTGTACATTTGTAAATCTTCTATTCAATTGAAAGTCAGTCTAAGATATTTAAAAATGGTTAGGTTGGTCCGTAAGTTCGTACTGTTCGATTCTCAAATTGAAAAATTAAAAAATTCCAAGCTCTAAGAACTTCACTTTTCAAATTTAGCTACTTTAAGAATTCATGTTTCAGATTTTTAAATTATAAAACATTTTTTCAAGCTTCCTCATGCCTCCGCTTATATGGCCCTTTCGAATACCGATGCCATATAAACTCCATAATAATTAAAATCCTGTCAACTCCGATAACAAAAATTATTCTCCAGAATTTATGAACCAATCTAAAGAGCAACCGGTTCGAAAAGAATGATCAAACCAATTTTCCAGCTTATTATACGATAACACCGTTCGTCGATTGCTGTTCTTAGCGGTTGTTCAAAGTTCGACGTGTCGAACGATATTGTCGTACAATTCGCTTTAACGATGGTTCCGTGTAAACCGTCGACTCGCGTCGATTGAAGACTCATTTACATATAAACAGTCACTCGAGAATATACGGTGCTTGCGATACAGCCCGAAACTTTATCGCGACGATAATAACGTTGAACGATCAATCGGGCGAAAAATCCCATACGCTTCCTATGTTAGTAGTTCTTGATGGTGTTCGTGAAGGTGACCCACGTGTCCTCTATGGGTGCCAGCACGGTGATGACGATGAGAGCCGCGGTGAACAGGGCGATCACCACGAAGTATATTCCGAAGATGGATTTCCTGATCCCGGAATGCTGAACACAGAATATCGAGTCACTTTTACAGATTCGTGTCGCATGGAGACTATTAACGAAAAAGACTTACCGGAGCGTCCTGTCTTGAATCGGGATGCACCATCGAGCCACGTGAATGCATGTCTTTCATCGGGAACGAATTCACCCTCTGACTGGCTTGCCTGTCAGAGGCACAACCGACGAACTACAACAATATGTTCATTGTTAGCATTGCAGCAATCGCAACTGTTTCCATTTAATTCCACATCGAGTTTTAATATACTGCAGTTGAAATATGTCGGAAAAATAACAAAACTTTTTATAAATTTTGTCAAAATAAATTTTTTTCCGACATACTGTTTTTGGTGCAGCTACTCGAGTCGATGTTCGACCCTATGACGCTGTTCAACCCAATTTGATTCGACCCTATTTCACCCTGTTCAACTCGATTTAACGCGACTTGTCCGAGGCAATCTTTATTCGAAGCAAGTTGAAATCTTTGCAGTATGACATTCGACCCGATTCCTTCCATATAGTCAAAGGGAAGGTACACCGTGCAACATAGGCTTCTCTTGATTAAAAGTATATTTGAAGACGAAGAGAATGTTGGAACAACCTGGAACCTGATAAATAATTTCCGTCTCTCTGCACTTTGCCATAACCTTTTTTCTTTCTAGCACAGTGGTACGAGTGTCTCATTATATCTTTTAAATGTTGAATATAGCTGATGCGCCTCGGTGGAATCTAGATTTTTTTTTTCAAGAGAGGCCTAAGATGCAACTCGGTTATATTCTAAATATAAAAACATTCTTACCGTGAGTATAAGGTGAGTCAGAATATGGAATACCACGTAGGCGACCAGAATCCAGTCGACCCATTCCGGGAGTTTGGCCTTATTCAACCGGACCGCGAAGAAAATTGCGATTACTGTGAAAGGAATTTCAATGCGGTGGCTAACCATTGTCCGTGAAGCGAACGGAAAAAGAGAAATATGAAACACACGAGGTGAAACTTACTGCCGCAAATCTGCGCTGCATTTCCAACGAACCAGTGCGCCCAATTGAAAAGGGGTCTTCGTGGTGCTCCGGGATGAGGTCTCATCGCTGCCATAAACGGTTGAACAAATGCCAGTATCGTTGTCGCTAATCCGAGGGACGCGTGTATCACCTCGGAACTCCATGCGCCCAATTCCACGAATATTATCACGAACGCCGCGATCGTCATGGACCATGTTAGTATCATGAAGAATCTGTGCCACTGGAATTAGAAATAAAAATTAATTAGTACGTATAGATCATATGTGAATGCATATGTGCATATATGTATATAGTCATAAATAAACGTATGTAGATATACGTAGCCATACATAAACTTACATAGACATACATACACATACATGACATACGTAGACACATATGTATAGACGTACATAGACATACGTACACATATATGTAAAGACATACATAAACATACTTAGTAGACATACATAGACATACATACACAGACATACATAGACATACATGATATACGTAGACATATATGTATAGACATACATAAACATACTTAGACATACATAGACGTACATACACATACATGACATACGTAGACATATATGTTTAGACATATATAAACATACTTAGACATACACAGACATACTTAGACATACATAGACATACATAGACATACATAGACATACATAGAGATACTTAAATATGTACTTCAATATAAGAGAGCAGTCCTCAACCTAACCATATCTCACTATTTAATATCCTCAAATTCTATCACTAGAAAAATCCTTGCGTCCCAACATCCACATATCCCTAGAATGTCCCACAAATATTCCTAGATCCCCCAGATCTCCATAACCGTATCAGAAGTCTAGATTTTAATAAATACAGGTCGGAGTATCGCGAACGATAACGATATCGCTGTTATAATATGTGGACGCTCGAGGCAAAAGTTAAATAACTCTCGAGAGTTAATAAGTATCCTTCAACCGTCTAAGATAAGTTCAATATTATCCTTGGACATCGGCCAAGCTTAAGCGTTCATCCGTTACGTTCGAGCACTCCAGGTTTTCAACAGCGTCAAGTGCACTGTACTCCAAAAGAAAATGTACCTCTCGCGTAAAAACGTTCAAACGATTACCCGTGAGAGAAGCACATCCGTTCACTCCTCTTCGGATTTCATTTTAAATGCAAGCTACTTCGTGTGCGGGTAATTCTGACACGTTACAATATAATTGTTACACGTGGTTACATTGTTTTAATCTAAATTAGCTGATGATCGCCGAACGTTTACAATTGTCAGCCGACGTTGAAGAGCAGATACACAAAATGGCGGACAGTGGCAGAGTTAATGGAGGAGGTTCACACTTATTTACGATCCTTACTTCAGCATCTGTCACATTACTGCAGTTACAATTATTCGTTCAATAATCATTGTTTTAATCTAAATTAGCTGATGATCGCCGAACGTTTACAATTGTCAGCCGACGTTGAAGAGCAGATACACAAAATGGCGGACAGTGGCAGAGTTAATGGAGGAGGTTCACACTTGTTTACAATTCTGTTTACTTCCGCATCTGTCTCGACACTGCACCTTAAAAAACTCCACTTTATTAAACATATGGTACTTGCTGTTCAAAAATAAATGATTCTGTGAGGTATACTGATGAGTGCTGTATTCGTAAAGACTTCATCTTTGCTACCATCGAGTCTCACAGTCGAATTTACGAAATCGAGTCATTAAAAGGGATCATGTACAGGGTGTCTTACATAAAGCAGTTGTGAGACAGCCTGTATGTAATGTTACGAGAGACACAGTAGTATTAATTGTTACTATTATAATATTATTGATAGTATTATTAATATAACAAATATTGATAACACCACAAATAGTTTTATCTAATAAGTACCTGCAAACACTCGTGTCAAGTAATGTACACAACCTAATGAAGATATATTTCTTCAGAGAAGGTTACACCCACTAAAAATCAATGAAACATATTGAACTCGATCGACAAACAGTTTATTCATTACCAAAAATGATTATCGCTAAACGTTTCATATAAAACACGGAGTTCGATGATCGTTTTTCCCCGATGCCCGTCAATTAAAATCTGATTACGCAAAACGATTAACGTGTCCACTTTAAATTACGATCGCCCATCGGCTGGTAATTCCGTGAAAGAGATGGTGCTAGGTGACATTATCATATTGCCCTCCTATTGGTGGTCCCTCTGATTAGCTTCCATACCAAATTCATGGACCGACGGTCAAACGCCAACGACCCACCGAATAGGTAACTCGCATGATATATTCAGAAATTTTCAAGTTCACGAGTTTTTCGGTTCAAGTGCTACTGTAGGTTATTAAGTATGTGATTTTGTAGTTGTCCAGTTTTCTGAATTTGGGAAATATGTGGTGGGTTTTGGAAGTTGTGCAAGGTTGGAGATTATTCAATTTTGGAGTTGTTGAATTTGTAATTTCACAAGGCATTATTTTGCAAATTTACTACATTTGCAAATTTGTCAATTTTCAAATTTCTAAATTTTTCAATTTTCCAGTTTCTCAAGTCCCAAACCTCTAAATTTCCAAATTTCTAAATTCCCAAATTCCTAAATTTCACAATTTCTCAATTTCTAAATCTCTGATTTCCCAAGTTTCTAATTTCCCAATTTCTCAATTTCCAAATCTCTGAATTCCCAAGTTTCTAAATTTCCCATTTCTCAATTTCCAAATCTCTGAATTTCCAAGTTCCTAAATTTCCCATTTCTCAATTTCCAAATCTCTAAATTCCCAAGTTCCTAAATTTCCCATTTCTCAATTTCCAAATCTCTGAATTTCCAAGTTCCTAAATTTTCCAATTACTCAATTTCCAAATCTCTGAATTCCCAAGTTCCTAAATTTCCAATTTCTCAATTTCCAAATCTCTGAATTCCCAAGTTCCTAAATTTCCAATTTCTCAATTTCCAAATCTCTGAATTCCCAA